GAACTATTCCGATGTCCCTTTTCATTTATGAGCTCATGTAAACCTTTTGTTCCCCTGTTTTTCAAGTTTTTATAAGGTGACCAACTTTTTTACAATGAAAAGGAGGACACAAATAAATTGAAGAAAAAAAATATTGTAAATAAAAGAAACATTTTATTCATTGCAACAATAATACAGAATACACTATAATATAATAAATGCAGAGTGGTCCCCGCGACTCCCAAAGCACCAGCCGCGCCAGCTCCGGCCCCGGGAGGCAGCCCACTATTGACACACCCCGCCTGCAGCTGCCCCGCCAGCACCACCGCCCAGCCCCGTGTAGAGCGGGCCCCATGGCTCCCACAGCACGGGGGGCAGCCGGCTGCTGCCGCCCCTCACACCCCTGCCCGCAGCAGCCCCTCCGCCCCTGCCTCTTGCGCCCGCAGCTATTATTGCCGTAGCAGGGCCGAAGATCAAGAGAAACTTATCATGGTGTCGCCGCTCCAGTCTCCTCCAGATATCTTCGGGACTAACTAGAAGATGGTGTAGTGGGTAGCAGGGAGGGGTACAAAGTTCCTGCCAATTCGCCTTCACTGTAGAAACTTGCATGTGGAAAGTTTGCCGGCCGCGCTCAGCAGCAATTCCTATTGGCTTTCGAAAGCCAATAGGGGGCGTAGCACAGGTCATGCAAAAGTTGAAAAAAAACCCATCAAAAAAGGTGCCAGAACGCCATTCTGAGCATTCTATGAAAAAAAAAAAAGCCCTGCAGATTAGTCTTCAAATATCGAAAAGGAGGACATGTAGGAGGACACTTTTCGAGGGAGGACAGAACTTAAAAAAGGAGGACTGTCCTCCCTAAAGGAGGACGGTTGGTCACCTTAGTTTTTATAAAACGGCAGAATTATGATTTTAACAAAACAAAATACTATTTAGACTTGACAAACAAAATTCAAAATTTCTGGATAGTTTTTTTTAAATTATATGCCTATATTCCAGAGATAATGTTCACATAATTTCAGAATTATGATTTTGACAAGCAAAATAATATTTGGACTTGACAAGCAAAATTCAAAATTTCTGGATAGTTTTTTTTTTAAATTATATGCCTATATTCCAGAGATAATGTCCATATAGTTTATTGTAAAGGTATGATAAAAACTGTAGAGGGGGCCATGTGTTAATTTTTTATGTTGTCCTATTTTTCTGTTTGGTTTGGCCTTCACTATCATTTAAGGGCTTTGAGACTATTAAGTTGCAGAAAAAAACCCTAAAAATTAAAACTGAACATTCGTATTATCTCTTCTGAGAAATCAGCTACTTTTGCTCAATTTCCTTTTTTCCCACCCCACAGAGGTTCAGTGACCATAGAGTAGAGAAAAGCCAGCCAAAACTGAGAAGCAGTGTTCTTTACAGACATTATAAAGCCAAAGGATTATTCAATTTAATTCAGGAATGCAGTCTGGTGTGCAGTTTCTGGCCCAGGCAATGGCAGATAAATACAAAGAAACATTTGGAACATCCCAAATGCCAAATGTAGAAATATATGATTGGCTACAATGAATCTTGTTGTCAGACTAACTTGTTTTCATTCCTCACATCCTTCTCTCAGAAGGAAGAATTCGGGAGACACACTGTGACTGTCACCCATCAAAAGTCAACTCACTTGTCAAAAAAAAAAAAAAAGAGTACAGGAATTTGGAGATAGGTGTCTGAATTTACTTTTTCTGGATTTTCAATTGTTTTTTTTCTTGTGTCTTACGTCTTCTTTAAACTGGAAGATAGGACCTGTCACGCTACTGATCTTTGTAAGAAAATCCCAGTGCTTCTTTTTTAAGGTATATAGCACAATAAAAAATTCTCCAGGTAATCCATGCCACTTTTAATACACAGAATGATGCCTGACGGGTGTATCTGCAAATACATTAGTGCACAACTCCAGGAATATTTCATGCCTGTAAAATATTGGAGATGGTGTTACTAGAAAAAAGAGACATCCAAGATCCAAAATGCAGGCACACATACGTAGATGTGTGTGTGTGTGTGTGTGTGTGTGTGTGTGTGTGTGTGTGTGTGTGTGTGAGAGAGAGAGAGAGAGAGAGAGAGAGAGAGAGAGAGAGAGAGAGAGATGCTGCAAAACCCAGTAAGAGATAACTGTAAAATGAGCAATTAGATGAACATTTCAGATTATACATACTCCTAATTATCCTTTTAATTATTAATCTAAAACAAGTAAAATGACCCCTGACAGAGCCATAAATGATTTAGCTATCATCAAATATTTATATAATGCAGCTGAATCCCGCTGTGCATTGTAACAGATTCAGAGGAGCCTATATTCTTGTGGGATTGTCCATTTGTCACATTAAAAAGAAGGGGAGGAGCCCTCTTTAAATCTCTTTTTGCTTCCCAGTACATGTCATTTTTAAAAAGAAAGGGGAAAAAACTCTCTTTAATTGGCTTCTTTCCCTCTCATCCATGTTTGTACATTTTAATAGATGTTTTCATTGTGACATAGAAAATCTGCAAAACTGCTACATTAATCACGACCTGCTCCATTTCCACACCATATTTTTAATACATTTAATTTATAATAGAATGCTTAGCTTTCTTTTCATTAGTGAAACAACACAAATATTCTTAATGTTATTCTTAAGAAACCAAACTGGATTCAGATAAGCCAAATGGCATTTTAGCCTATGCAATAATTATATATGAGCTTTTGTTATTTGTGGACTTGTGTCAATATGTTATTCCTACTGGTCCTCAATATTCAGAAGCTCTTGGGCCAGAGAGTCTTTCAGAATATTTATTCGTTATGAAAACATTTTTACAGAGAAGCTGTTATAGAAAAGCTTAGAACCAAATCATGTTTGTTCTTTGTTGTACTTTGTCTTTATCTAATACAAAGATCTAGATAAAGCATGCCTTGGATCTAGAAAGTCTGCTAGCAAGGAAATGATCCTGGAAAGTCAATAAGGGGGCTGTTACATTATTTATTTGTTTTCTTAATGAATTAATTGTAGGTGCTGTTGGTATATGCAAATATATAGCTAATTGCCAAGAGAGAGCAAGTCTGGTGTAGGTTAACACACCAGGGTAGAAACTGGGAGGCTGTGAGTTCTAGTTCTACCTTGGCACAAAACCAACTGGGTGACCTTGTGACCTTCAGCCCTAAAAAAAAAGCAATGGCAAAGCACTTCTGAAAATATTGCCAAGACGTTGCCAGTACTCAACATTGACTTGAGGGTACAGTCCAGATTATTTAGATTGTACAATTAATAGTAAGTTGGCCAGAAAAAGCTATCATTCCCCATATCTTTTGGTACCTTTTGTCCTAATAGTATTAATATCTAAGCTTCTTAAATGCCATGTAGAGAGATATATCCTATGTACATCCTTTGTTAGAAGAATACTTCCAGAGATTAAATAAAGAATTCAGAACATTGAAGGAAAACTGCTGTGAATAGTCTTGGTCCACACTTAGCAATAGCAACAGCACTTAGACTTATGTACTGCCCCACAATGCTTTACAGCCATTTCTGAGCGATTTACAACAATCTGAGTCCTCATTTTATCAACCTTGGAAGGATAGCAATAGCAATAGCACTTAGATTTATATACCACTTCACAGTGCTTTACAACTCTCTCTAAGCAGTTTACAGAATCAGCCTATTGCCCCCAACAATCTGGGTCCTAATTTTACCCACCTGGGAAAGATGGAAGGCTGAGTTAACCTTGAGCTGGTCAGGATCGAACTTCTGGCAGTGAACAACGGGTTAGCTCCAATACTGCATTCTAAGCACTGTGCCACCACAGCTCACTTGCCCATTCTGGGTCTATTTTTATCCCAAAATCGTTGTTTCTTGCATTCAGTCTTATCTAATTATTCATGTATGTATCATTCAGAAATTTCATGTTTAGCCACCTGCATGTATATCTTTGTAATAACTGTGCCCCATTTTATTGAAGCAGAGTGCAGAAATGCACTGTAGATACACCCTTACTGTAGAATTCTTTGTTGCATCATTCATTAGGATGTGCGCACACAAATTAGTGCCTATGTATGATACAAGGATCTGCAGTAACAAGGTTTCTCCCACCTTCTTCTTAGACAGAATTACTTTTTGGCTTAATTAATTCCCAAGTCACGGTGGCAAACTGTTGTGTAATTTCAGTGGGACTCTCATATATAACAAGGTGCTGGAGTGCAACCTTGTTTTCTTCACCTTGTAATTTGCAGAAAGGCCTGAAAATTATCTGCTGAAGTCAGTGTGTAAAAGATCCTCTGAGAGACCTGTTTGATATGTCAGATTGTTCTTTCTAGAGTACTCTGCCAAAAACTGTTCTCAGTCATGTACATTTGTTGAATACATACTTGAGAAATCTAAAGGTATGCGAAGATCTGGTTGAATAAAGGGGAGGAGTCGGGAAGCGGGCCAAGCGGGAAAGGGAGAGGTGGGTAGTGCCTCTATGGTCATAAGTGTGGGCAGGCTGCCAAGCCCCCAAATTTTCTTTAGGTGACCATGGGGCCACTGCAGCAGCTATAAATTTGGGCACAAGTCATATGTCCCTTCATTCAGCACCATCGCAATTTGGAATGGTTGCTGAATGACTAGCCATAACTGTACCTGTACTTCCTATCTGAAAGCAAAATTGAGTTTCTTGTGTTAGAAATATTAGATCCATTTCTTTCTTCTACTATTTCTTCTTCTTCTTCTTCTTCTTCTTCTTCTTCTTCTTCTTCTTCTTCTTCTTCTTCTTCTTCTTCTTCTTCTTCTTCTTCTTCTTCTTCTTCTCCTCCTCCTCCTCCTCCTCCTCCTCCTCCTCCTCCTCCTCCTCCTCCTCCTCCTTCTTTTCAATTGTGTCTAATACTCAAACGTGTGCCTGGATAATTCCTGCAGTCTTCTTGAGAAGTTTTTTTCAGAAGTGGTTTATGAAACGATAATAAATGTGAGTCTGATATGTGTGGCAAAAAAAAATAAAATAAATCTTGTTCCTTTTTTCATTTCTTCTCTTTCCAGTTGCCATCCTTCTAAAGGATGATTATTTCATCAGTGGTGCTGGATTGCCAGGAAGATTCAAAGCAGAAAAAGTTGAATTTCACTGGGGCCAGAGTAATGGATCTGCTGGCTCAGAGCATAGCATCAATGGGAGAAGATTCCCAGTTGAGGTTGGTCAAGATAAGTGAACTTATTTTAATGAAAAAAAAATTCTTGCTTTGATCTGAGCTTCTTATGAAAATGTGCAGCACAATTTGTGTACTTTTTGTTTTTGCACAAAAGAAATTATTTTACTGAAATTATGCTTCAGAATGAAGGAAGATCCATGAGAACATTTAGTGGACATTTAATTTTACATACAGAGAACTTCTCTGCAGCAGAATCACAGTTCATTCCTATACAGAAAGAACCTGATAGTTATCCTTAAAGTTTGGAAGCTAGCAGACATATTTAGAAATGTGAGAGTATGTTGGTAACACCCTCAGATGTTTTTTTTAAAAGAAATACTTTTTACATAGATTAAAATGTCTATGATAGAAAAGAGAGTGAAATTTAGACACAGGATGACTTAATGTAACTGATATGATCTGTGTTAGATACAGGGAGGCGGTTTATCCAAAAAAGACTCAAATAATCCAGCGTTGAGTGGTAAGTTGTAAAAGCCTATTATGACAAATTCCATATGATTTTGGAAAGAAGTATGATGTGGAGTTATTTCAGAGACTAGCCTGGGAGCTGAGTTTTAAACTAATGAAAGTTTCTGAAACAAACATAAAGGTAGCCATTATACCGGTAAAGCCTGGAGAGCCCCAGCAGGTATACACAGTTTTAAGGTCATTTTCTTCCAGGAAGGAACACAGTTCCCTTGTTCCAATTATCCAACTAATTGGCATTCCAATGGAAAAGGAGTTGCTGTCCAACAGTATCTTCACATTGTCTGTAGAGGATCCTTAGGGACTTGCATTGTTGCTCTAAGGATGAAAGCTGTCAGCATGAAGGCTACACTGTTTTTTGTTTGTTTGTTTCAGACCAGTTTTTCTTCTGTCCCAAATCTTGCTTATATTACAATCAGAAATAAGGTATTAGGCCTTCCCGCTTCTGGGTTTTGCATGATTGCTGACCCCGGAAATCACTGGAGGTTTTTAAGAAGAGATTGGACAGCAACATGGGTCTCCTGATTGTGCAGGGGGTTCGACTAGAAGATCTCCAAGGTCTCCTTATAACTCTGTTATTCTGTTTTGCTGATGCTGAGCAAGAGAACTGGATACACATCTTTATTTTCCTTTCCTTGGCAATATATGCCAGCCTTTCTCAACCTGGTGCTTTCTAGTATATTTGATGACAATTTTCAGAATCCCTCTTAATTAATGAGATTAAAAATTGGCTAATCTTGGAGTAGCCTTCCCCAATCTTGTGGCCTTCCCCAGAGGTTGAGAAAGAAACCTTTGTTCCTTTTTTGTAGTTCAGCCTGTCTGGAAAAAGTAGCACTGATTGGGAAACCAGCCCTTTCTATCTAACTAGCTGTATCTCTAAAAGTTGAGTCTAGTGATCTGGCAAACAGAAGTTTCCAGGTTGGAGAGAATCATTATATAAATGTAGTTTATTTCTTTGTTTGTCAAATTTAGGTACCACCAATCTCACTCTCAGAGAGTGACTCTGGGTAATGTACAGTTACTTCCCAAAGCCTTTAAGTACATCCGTTTGGCAACGTGGGAAGAAATAGTTTCAGATTAAACTCTGAAACAGAGGCCTATATACATTCTTCAACTTCTTTGTACTGGATCTGTTGTGTATCAGCTTCATTCTTGCCGGCAGTAAAGAGGTGAATCTATCCAAGCTGGGCCAGGGAATCTTCTGTCGAGTAAAATTATTCCTGATAAGCAATTGCCAAGATTGACCGAGAGCCAATTTGGTGTACTGGCTAAGGCACCAGACTAGAAACCAGGAGACCGTGAGTTCTAGTCCTGCCTGAGGCACAACTCCAAGTGGGTGACTTTGGGCCAGTCCTTTTCTCTTATTCCTAGGAAGGAGGCAATGATAAATGGCTACCAAAAAACCTTGCCAAGAAAACTGCAGGGACTAATCTAGGCAGTTGCTTGAGTAAGAAACTGGCTTGAAGGCACTTGCATATATAATAAATATTTTAAAAAATTAACTGACTGACACTAACTGACATACCGTAGTTTACAGTAAAAGAAAAAGCCTAAAATCAAGACATAAGCCACATAGAATATTTAATGGCTTGATTGGCTGCTGCCTATCCTTCGCTCCTTCTGAAACTGAGCCCCAGATATATTCTGGATGAAAGTATTCTGTGCAACAACTCCAAACTTTCTATTATTATTATTATTATTATTATTATTATTATTATTATTATTATTATTATTATTATTTTGCAGTTCAACATGAAGGGTCTGGTTGTGCAGTGTTAATTATGTCACTGTGAAAACTTCCCTTGCCAATCAGAGCCTTGCCAAATGCCAGAGGCTAAATTTCTAGGAAACCCATTGAAAGGAAGAAGCATCAGCATCCGCAGTGGTCCACAGGCACAGATCAAACATTTCCAGACTGCCCATGAGAACTTTACCTTCCAGGCTTGGCAGTGGCTCGGTCACTGGAGCACTGGAAAACAAAATGTGCTGCAAATCTAATGGAGAAACCAGATGTGGACAGTATGTGCCAGTTCCAAAGAGGCTCCATTGGGAGATACCAATAAATCTGCTTCAGCTGCAAAGGGTTTCTCTCCCCCCCCCACACACACCCATAAATATAGAGCTAAGATGGACTGCAAAGCAGAATGCTTGCCGCAGGAGGGGGCGGGAGAGCTCACCGAATTTGAAAACTAATTGGAAATGTCAGATATAAGAGAGAACCTTATTGTTTGACCATGTTGTTTGTATTTTTATTATCACAAGTAATGTGTCAGATGGTAAGGCAGTGTGAGTTAATTGGCTTCCTTCCTTCGAGCCCATCTGGATCATATTTTTGGAAGTGATTTATATGTTAAATTAGGGGATAGGATATATGAGAACATCCTTTTCATTAAGTTCTCTACAGAGAGATTGGATCAAAGGCATCGCATTTATCCAATAGCTGTTATCTTTCAAGCAGAAGAAAAATAAAGGAGAAAACGTTGGTCTCACACACTCATGTTCGGTTTATGTTTTGTTTCGAGGAAGGAAAGGGATTTAAGTAAAAAAAGTTAACACCCTTCCTTCCAGTTCCGGTTCTCTGCCAAATCAATAGAAACATCTTTTTACACACAGATCAAAAGCCAAATTTGGCAACAGGGAAGCCTGTGGAATGCTATAAGTATTTTTCCTTCCTACATCTCTCTTGGAAAAATTAGCCAGAGTCTCTTGCTCTAAAACACTGTGCACTTCGCCCTCATTTGAGTATAATAAAAGTCAGTGAGACAATCCTAGATTGGAAGGACTGTTGTAAATATAAACGTTTCAGACTCAGTGGAGGCTTATTGTTCTATAAGGCACTGATACAATAACATTTATCGTGTCTATTTATAAGATTCTCTCCACACCATATTGTTTAGGACCTCTTGGCCATCCACTGCAACCTGTCCTTTCCAGCATCCCACACTTTGTTGCTAGTTTTGCTAACATGAAACCTTTATGCAACTTAGGTTATGCACTTAGTAAGGAGTGATCAAGGAATAAGGCTACTCTTTGCAGTAGCCTTATTCGATTCCATGATACCTCAGGACAGGTTTTACTAGCTTCATGTTTCTTATATCAATGAAGGCAAAGTATATTTACCAATAGGAGAGAATATTTGTAGCTCATGGTTGAATTGTGGAGTATTTGGTGCTTTTTGAGCTTGGTTGTTTCCTTGCAGACATTTCATTACCCAACATAACATCACCTGTGGTTAGAAGATCATGGGATATGCTCTCTGTTTATATACAGTGGCTTGTCCTGTCAGTGTTGGTGGGAATGTTGTTTTCTTCTTGGTAGTTCCTTGATTAGGCTGCTGTTTGATTGTTTGCCTGAACTGGTAGTTCCTTCATTGGGACATTGTTTCCTGCTGTGTTTACCTTGACTGGGTTCATTACTCTGCTGCCATTAACCGTAGTTTGTGGAACAAGCATATTTGGCTTCATAGAGCATACGAGATCAGTAAACATGTAATTATAAACTGTGATGGTTGGATTTTAAACAGTAAGTTCACAATGGCAGAACCTGATCATAGTTACTGCGGGTTAATCAAGGTGTATCCAGACTGAGTAGGTTTGAGTTGATTTTAACAGAACTACAATTGTCATGATTTTTTTTCATACTTTCCATTGGGAATTAAATTCAATCCAGTCTGAATTTAATCCTAGGAAACTAGCCGAAGAAGAAAACAGCTACTCAACAATGCTTCTAGTAGTGTGGCATTGAAATGTAGCTAAAATAATGGTTTCATAGCCTATAAAGATGCTGAGCTTGTCAGCTGGAGAGCTGACAGCCCAGATTCAAGACTGGAGCTCCTGTTATTTGCCCCAGCACCTGCCCACTGGCAATTTGAAAGCATACAAATAGGTACCACTTCGGTGTGATAGTAATAGCATTCCGTGTGCCTTTGCCATATAGCCATGCCACCCACATGACCACGGAAATTGTCTTTGGACAATGAGCACCGTGACCTACAGTCGGATACAACTGACAGAGAAACCATTATCCTTTAGCCCACAGGATATATGCAGTGTTATCTTCATTTTAGATGTCAAAAGGGTCTCTCTCTCTCCCTCCCTCTCTATCTGCCCTTGATCTGCCACTCCTCTTCCCCCACTCCCTCTCTCTCCCTCTCTCTCTCTTTCTCTCCCCCCCCTCCTATCTGCTGCTCACCTGGCAAGCTTCAAGTTGTTCTCCAACAATCTCAGGGGTAGGCAACCTCATCTCTTTTATGACTCATGGACTTCAACTCCCAGAATTCCTGAGTCAGCCTAACTGGGCTAGCTAGCTCTCTCCTGCCCTTCCTGCTTCCTGCTTCCTTCAGAGACGCAGCAAAGGGAGGAGCTCCGCCCAGAAAGCTTTTCAGCTCCTCGGAGAACACTGTGAGTGCACTCTCTTTTACACATACACACACACACACACACACACAAAACACACACAGAGAGAGAGAGAAGCATGGAAGTGCAATTGCCTCTCTCTGTCTCTCTCTGCAAAGGCAG